CACTGCAGCCTCAACCTCCCAGGCTCCAGCAATCCTTTTGCCTCAGCCTCCTCAGTAGCTGGGACTACACGTTTGTGCCACCATGTCCAGCAAATTTTTGAACTTGTAGAGACAAGGTCTCACTATGTTGCCCAGAGGTCTCAAACTCCTGGGCTCAAGCAATCCTTTCTCCTTGGCCTCCCAAAGTGTAGTCCTATGTAGTCAATCATTCATTAAATGCCTAATATAAGCCCAGTATGTGCTAGATCCTAAGGATATAGCACTGCATAAAACAAAACAACCAGGCACTATGATTCATGCCTGTAATCTCAGCAATTTAGGAGGCCGAGGCAGAAGGATCACTTGAGCCCAGGAGTTCGAGATCAGCCTGGAAAACATAATGAGACTCTGTCTCTACAAAAAATAAAAAAATTAGCCAAGTATGATGGTGTGGGCCTGTAGTCCCACCTACTCAGGAGGCTGAGACAGAAGGATCATCTGAGCATAGGAGGTTGAGGCTTCAGTGAGCCATGATTGTGCTACTGCTCTCTATCCTGGGTGACACAGTGAAACACCAACTCAAAAAATAAAAATAATTCAGTTGATATTTGAAGGTAAAAAAGAGAGCCATGTAGGTATCTGGTGAAACAGTATCCTAGGTAGATGGGATAGTAAGTACAATGACCGTCAGGCAGAATCATGCCTAGAATGTTCAGCGAGGTGGACAGTGTAGGTGGAGATGTGTGACTGAAGAAGGTGAGTGTCAAAGAGATAAGGTCAGCAAGGTAATTGGGATCTACATGATACAGGCCTTGTGGGCTACAGTAAGGGCTCTGGACTACATTATGAGTGAAATAGGAAGCCAGCAGAACAAGTGGAAAGGAGAGAAAAGTGAGTTATAGGTATATATAACCATGTAAAGAAATCTTAAACGCATTGTATTAAGTAAGAAATACTTAGCAAAATATTTATATGTAGTCATGAGTACAGATGCAAAAGTCCTATATAAAATATTATCAAACTGATTTCAGCAATATACAAATAAGACAATCATCAACTAAGCTGATTTTACCTCAAGAAGACAAGGCTGATTTCATAAGAAAATGAATCTAGGCCAGGCACAGTAGTTCATGCCTGTAATTTCAGCACTCTGGGAAGATGAGGTGGGAGGATCCCTTGAGCCCAGGAGTTCAAGACCAGCCTGGGCAATAAAGTGAGACCTCATCTCTACAATAAAAAAAATTAGCTGGACATGGAGGTGAGTACCTGTAGTTCCAGCTACTCAGGAGGCTGAGGTGGAAGGATCAACTGAGCCCAGGAGGTCAAGGCTGCAGTGAGCTGTGATTATGCTACTGCACTTCAGCTTGGGCATAAAAGTGAAAAACAAAAAAAGAAAGAAAGAAAATGAATCTAGGCCAGGCGTGGTAGCTCATGCCTATAATCCCAACACTTTGGGAGGTAGAGGCAGAGGTTCAAGTTCAGCCTGGGAACTTGGTGAGGCTGTGTCTCTATAACAAATACAAAAATTAGCCGGGTGCAGTGGTGCCTGCCTGTAGTTCCTGTTACTTGGAAAGGTGAAGCGAAAGGATCACTTGAGTCCAGCCGGTCGGGGCTGTGGTAGCCCTGAGTGTACCACTGCACTCCAGCCTAGGCAACAGAGTGAGACTCTGATTCATGATTAAAAAAAAAAAAAGCAACTATAAAATCATATAAGTAATCTCAGAAAGGGTGTTTCCAAGACACTCATTGTAAATATCATATCCAATAACAAAATGTGAAAAGCTTTTCTCTTGAGTTTGATTGAGTATAATACAAGTCTCTCCTTCAACACTTCTCTTGAAAATACTAATGGATCTCCTGGCTAGTGGAGCAAAGTGAGAAGAAGAAAGAAATGACATAGAGTTGGAAAGGAAGAAATAAAGCTGATTATTCACAGATTATAGAGTATATATGTAGAAAATAAAAAAGCATGCAGATTATTAGAATTAGCAAGTGAAGTTGGCAAGAGTGCTGATCTATGGTTAATGCACAAAAATTAATTGTATTTCTATATACAAGCAAGCAGAATATAAACTTTTAAAAGACCCTATTTACAATTCATTAAGAAAAAAAAACAGTAAATGCCTAGGGATAAATCTAAAAAAGATGTGCAAGACTTTTACACATAAATCTAAAATATTATTGACAGCAATTAAAGAAATAAAGCATACAGACCACAGAATTGCAAAATTCAGTATTATAAATATACCAATTTGCCCTAAACAGACTAGTGTTAGAAAATCTCATCAGGTATTTGGAGAACTTGACAATCATGGAAATTCAAAGGGTCAACAACAGTCCTCTTGGAGAAGAAAACATGTAGAATTTGCTGTACCACATATCAAGATTTATTAGAAAGTTACTATAATTAAGACACCAGGTACTAATGCAAAGAGATGTATAAACCAAGAAATGGATTAATATGCCCCCAAACAGATCCACACATATCAGGAAAATGTGGAAAGAGGATACTGCATAGCAATGGGAATTTTTTGCCAATGAAAAGTTTTAAATTAATCAGACATCTAGATGGAAATGAAATGAATCTTGGCTCCTACTTCTTCTTCTTTTTTTTTCACCCACACAAACATTTATCACATTCCTGGACTTTGCTTTATATCTTAAAGATGAATTAGAAGCAAATATTTATATCTGATTCATACCTTTCACATCAAAATCAAGCCTAAAAAAATTTGACCTCAGTAGTACTTTAAAAAATCTTATATAAGAATATGCTAAAAGGCTTGACACTGTTAAGCTGACATCTTCCATGGTGCTGTAATGGTAACAGAATTTTTATTTTCATTTACTTCGTGTTGGTTCCTACTTCTAACCACATATAAAAACTAGTTGTATACGGATTGTAGAACTAAATATGAAAGACAAAATAGTAACATTTCCAGAGTATAATTTAGTAGATTTTTTTAAAAATTATTTTTCTAAGAGACAAGGTCTTGTTGTATTACCCAGGCTGGTCTCAAACTCCTGGGCTCAAGCAATCCTCCTGCCTCGGCCTCCCAAAGTGCTGGGATTACAGGTGTGAGCCACCACTCCCAGATGATTATCTTTATTATTTTGGGGTAGGATTGATTCCTTAAGTAGGCATAAATAGCACTAATGACCAAAAAAAATTGATACTAGATTACATTAAAATGAAGAACTTCCGTTCATCCTTTAGATAGTGAAAAGGCAAATCAGAATAGTATATGCAACACATATAACCAAAAGGGTCATATATTTGTAAATCAGATATATATATATATGGAAAAAGATACCCCAATAGAGAAATTGGCAAGATACTTGAACACTTTATAGAAGAGAATTTTTCAAATAGCTGATAGATACCTGAAAATGTCAACCAGGGAAATGCAAATTAAAACCAAATAACACATCATTATACATATACCAGAATTAGGGGGAAATGCCACATGAGGGCAAAGAAATGAAGTAAAATAATTCTTAGATGTATTAAGTGAACTCTCATATCCCTTGTGAAAGGAGTGAATATTAAAAAATTTGTAAACAGTTTGGCATTATCTACTAAAATTGAGTATATATACATTTTGTGACCAAAATATTCTACTTCTAGTTATAGTTACAACAGGAATGTGTACACACACAGAAGAGATGTTTGTAAGATTAGTCACAGAAGTATTATTTGTAGAACTGGAAACTACTTATGGTAGTCATTAGGCAGTTAACAAATATTCTGTTTCTTTTACTTCTTCGTACATAGTAGGGGTGTACATACTCTTATAATCTGTATATGGAGCTATATGTGGCAGACTTATTTGGGCCAATTACATAAGACAGAAAAGATTTTTGTCACTTCTGGACTGAAGCTTTTGGTGATTTGGTGTTTAGTGAGAAGAGATTTATAGAAAAATATTTATTTATATTTTATTTTTCTTTATTTTAGAGATGGGGGTCTCACTATGTTGCCTAGGCTGGTCTCAAACTCTTGGCCTCAAGTGATCCTCCTACCTCAGCCTCCCAAGTTACTGGGATTATAGGTGTGAGTCAATGCACGTGGCTTAGCAAAATATTCATATCACTCATGAGTGTAGATGCAAAAATCTTATACAAAATATCAACAAATATTTGATAATTGCCAGGGGGGTGATTCACTTTGTTCCCTTTTCTTGCATCAGTGATTATGAAAGCATGTGTTAAGGCAAAGTTACCATGAGCTTGGGTCCCTGAATGACGACATTTCAGTCGTAAAAAATAATCTTCTGTTGGCTTAAGCCATTCACATTTTGGGTTTTTAATTCTTATAGTAGGACCTGACCTGCTCTGATTGGTATACAAGGCAAATGTATATCAGTAGCTGAATCAATCAATACACTGTGGTTTTTTTCATAGCATGTAATATTCTACAGTAATAAAAAAATGAAGGAACTACAGCTGCATTCGACAACATGGATAATTCTATAAACCTGATGTTGAGTGAAACATGGAGCTATAGACATGAATTCTTAACTGGTAAGATAATATAGAAAAGCAAGAAAATTAATGTTGATGAAAGTGAGGGTGGTGGAAACTTTGTGGGGTCAAGAGGAGAAAGCTGTTAATGTTAGGAGGTGGCATAAAAGAGGCTTTTGGGTACTGACAGCATTCTATTTCTTAATCTGGTGGAGGGTACCATGGGTGTTCGCTTTGTGATAAATTATTGTACTGAACATACTTGTTTTATCTTTCTGATGTGTTTAATTAAATGAGATTTTTAAGGAGATTGCTTGTTGCTGTAACAGCAAACCCTCAGGTGTACAACGGCTTCAAAGTGATAATTTCTCACTCGCTTTAAGTCCAAACCAGGTGTTACTCATTGGTGGATGGCTCTCCTGTAAGTGATATTCAGGGATGTAGACTCCTTCTACCTTTTGGCTCTATCATCTTCACCGTGCAGCTTTCAAGGTCATACACTCAAATGCATCAAGCTGGCCAAAGTGGAAATAACATGGGAACTGTGCAAAGGAAAATTTAAAGGTCCAAGTCTGGAAGTAGCATTTATTAGTTTCACTACCATCCAACTGGTTAGGCTCAATCACTCTTAATTACAAGGGAGGCTGAGAAATATAGTCCAGTTGATTTCCTAGGAAGAAGAAAATGGGTGTGAAGAACAGCTGGCAAGTCTCTGCCACAACATACATACACCAATACCACCACATATTTTGCCAAAATGCGCCTAGAGACATGTAACAAACACATTGTGGGGGATCACAAGAACTGAAGTGCCAATCAGGAACAAAGGGAACAAATCAAATAAGAACAGGAAAGGGGCCTTTCACAGATTAATCTTAACAGAGTGTCACGAACTTCGGAGAAAGGTTAATGTAATTCTCAGCATCAATCTACATATCAACAAGAATAGAAAAGTTTAATAGCACTGGTGCCAACAGTGCCATCCTGACCAGGCTGACTCTCATGCAATCCTGAAGTTGTTCATTCTCTCTTAGTCCCAGTCTGTTTTCCAAGCCTTACTCCCTGGACTTCACATTAGTTTTGTGAATAGCTTATTGATACCTTTTCAGTAATCTTTCTTCTTATCCACAGTTTATTGTAGTAAAACTTGGACTGTTACAGAGTAGGTTTATTTCACTTGTTGAACCTCCATTCCTATGTTGAACTTTAGCCATTATAATGAGCATCCTTGTTTTATTTTTGGCTTTGATGGAAATACTGCAGCAGAAAGTCCAGCATCTACATAAACTTGCTCTCCAGAAGCAACAGCCAGAACAACAGAAAGAGAACCTTTATCTCCCAAATATCAAATAAATGAATCTAACTGGTGGAACTTACTTTGTATTCACAATTCTAGCTTCAAGGTTTTAATATCTCCAGGCATCAAAATTTGAGGCAACCATGTGAATGGATGCTTACTAAAGTGGAAGCATGCTGTAGAATACTCTGTAGCTAATGGGAGCCACAAACTAGATGTATAAGCAGCTACATGGATTGTACTAGTTTTTGCTTATTTTCTTTCGACTCCATAACTCTTCCTGCAATACAACCCCCGCCCCTACCCCCACCACATTCACATTCCAGTTGTGCTGCTGCAGCTAGGATTCTGCAAACTACATTGCCCAAAATCCACTGCCAGCTGATTTCCTGTTGGGTTCTACCAATGGGATGCCCTAAAGGAAAATTGAAAATGAAGGATAGGAGGAGGGACTTTATTCCTGTTTTCTAGTTGCTGTCACATTATTTCAGCTGTGGAGAGTTGGCTCCAGCCACTAAGTAGTTCTGTACTCAGCACTAGCTTTGCTATACTTCTCAGAGACATCAGCAGCAGACCAACTATGCCCTGTGCAGAGGCCAGTCACACCTTGCTTCCCCACACTCAGGGTTATGCCATTCTTCAGAGGTCCAAGCACCAGATTCAGTGGTAGGAGTCTCCTCCATAAAAGTCTGAGTATCAGTCAAAGGCCCCTTGTCTGAGCTCCTAGTTTCTGGCAATTGCTTCTTCCCTTTTGCTTTCCCAGGCCTTGATGTTATCTGATTTCTGCAGTTATTAATTTTTAAAATTATATTAGGATCTTTTTTCTGTTGTAATCAATTCTATTAAAACTTTTTTTTTTTTTTTTAAGTTGGAATCTCATGTTGTAGCCCAGGCTGAAGGGCAGTGGCGCACATCCAACCACTGCAACCTCAACCTTCTGGGCTCAGGTGATTCTTCCACCTCAGTCATGCAAGGAACTAGAAATACAGGCATGCACCACCATGCCCAGCTAATTTTTTTAAAAAAATTTATTGTAGAGATGAGTTCTCACCAAGTTGCCCAGGCTGGTCTCGAACCCGCAGGCTCAGGCAATCCTCTCACCTTGGCCTTCCAAAGTGCTGGGATTATAGCTGTGAGCCACTGTGCCCAGCCTAAAATTCTCTTCTTCAAATATTAGTGTGGTTTCTATTTTCCTGGCTGGGTCCTGGCTGATACAGGCATGGATATTAAAAATACAGTTGAGTGATTAAAAAAAAAGTAAGAAATAAGATTCGCAGACAATACTCTACATAAAGCACACACACAAAAGTTCACATTTTACAAGAATACCTGCATAAAAGGATGTTAAGTGAAAGTTTTTTGTCTGAGATCTAATAACACACCAAAACTAAGGATAAGAGATAACAGGTACCAACACATTCTAAATTAAGATGCTAGATATATCCATATAAAGTTTACTCTAAGATAGTAAAGCTAATCTAGAGCACTATCTTTTCTATAGTATATGAGATTAGAAATGAAAGATTCATTGATGAGACTCTTTAGGAACAGGGAGAACTTCTCCCTCAAAGGCAAAGGAGTAGTACTATTCCCTCAATCCTAGATTGAGCGAAGAGAGCTCCAACAGAACCATTTGTAGACATTTTTGTGTTCCCATAAGAGAAAAAGTCATTACATTCATTCAGCATTAAATTCTCTAGCTAGAGGCATGCTAAACTCAGAAAATTATAGACCCATCTCCAAATGGCCACTGGGGTGGAACTTGAGCCAAAGGACTCTTGGGAGAATATAACCTGAACCACTTAAGGAGATTTGTAGCCACATCAGCATAGACTGGAACTTACTTCTCAGATGGAGAAGAAGTCAGTGTCAGGCTGGCTGGGGCAGGGCAGGGTGAAAAAAAGTCACCTGTTGGCTGGGCTACACTTCCACTGTTTGGCAGGACAAACATGCATGAGTCTCCCGTGAGTTCCTTGAAAGGTAACCCATCCTGAGAGTTTGTTGAGATCTTTCTTAGCAAAGCTGCATGCTAGAGTGAAGCACTTGAGCACTAGGAAGCTGTGCACACACTGTCAGGGTCAGGAGCTTAGGACCTGAGGGGTTGTGTATCACAAAGAGGCAACCAATTAACTCACACAACAGTCAACATTTTTTTGACTGAATACACCAAGTCATATTAATCACATAAGCTTAGTCTTTCTTCCTCTAATACGTCCTCCTACATTCCAATCCTAGAAGCACAGAGAAAGTTAAGAATAAGTGAAAGAAACAGACCGTGTTCTCCTACCCCACTGAGTTGAAGGGAGAGCACCTTTGAAATGGATGAGTTACCCTTTAGATGTGGGAAGGAGGGAGGGGAAAGAAAAATATATTTAAATATTATTATTCTAGATTAGTCTCTGTCACGTTATAGGGAATAATGGAACATAGTCACACTAGAGTGTTAACAACGGAGAAGAACCTCTGAAGCAAAGCCAAAAAGATAGGGGCTGTGGCAATCAGGGAGACTCCCAAGAAGTCTAATTGTAAGTAGAGTGTCCCAGCTTAATCAAGAACACATCATCTTGTAACCAAGAATCAAGGGAATTGCAAAGACTTCACCCTGAACATCCCTGAGCTCTGAAACCAATCCCAAGTCACCTACCTTCAGGTTCCTTGTTACATGAGAAAAAAAATCTCATCTGTTTAAGGCATTCTTTAGTGGGATTTTTTTTTTTTTTAATAACACAATCAAAGAGGGTTTTGTGGTCAATAAGGTGAACAGGATACCCATAGAAGATATATCCAGGGTGTATATGATAACTTCTTTAACACCTCCAAAACTCACTGACTGAATATAATACAGGCTTTTTGTTGTTGTTGTTCAATGTCCAATGTGAATGTTCTTGATCAAGCATTCCAAGTAATGAGTCAGGTATCCAGACTTCTGTGCTATGACTCCATCACCTTCAAAACATGTGCTTCAAGGTCACCCTGGTAGGTAGAGGAGGGAGTGGGAAAACATGGAAGAGGCCCAGCCAACCTTTGATTGCCTTGGCCTGGTATTGAAACATCACTTCCCCTCAATTTCCACTGGTAAGCACTCCTCACACAGCTGCCTAGAAGCATGGAGCTGGGAAATGTAGTTTACCTATCTAGAAAAAGGATATTTTGGTGAGTATCTGGTCAGTTTCTTCCACAAAAGAGGTGACACTGGTATGAAGACCTTGAAGATGAAAATGAGCTCAATGGGAAAACAGTATTCTAGAAGCAGCAGCAGCATGTGTACAGAACCTGAAGTAGAAGCAGCTTAGAATGCTTAAAGTCTGTGTGCTAGAGTTCTGCAAGAGGGGAGGAGTGGGTTAAGATGCAGTTAGAGATGGAAATGGAGACTTGGGCAAGATCTCATGCGCTCTGGGAAGGAGTCTGTCTTTTGTTCTCAGGGCAATGAGAATCCATGAAAGGGTTTTAAAGCAAAGAAGTGACATAAGCTGATTTACATTTTAAAAAGATCACTTGGCTATGTGGAAAATTAATAGCTGTGGGGAAAGAAGTAGAAGCAATTAGACCAGTAAGGCAGTTATTGCAGGAGTTGAATATCCTAGAACCAGGTAACCAGTCAAAGAAGCCACCTGGGAAGGACAACCTGGGAATGAAAGGCTCTAATTACTGGTTTCTGTCTGTGAAAATCTACAGAGAGCTTTGTGCAATTATGTAAACAGTTAAGTGTTTGGAGCTGAGTCGTGTCTCTGCCAAATCATGCTGTTTCTTTTAGAACTGTGTTCCCTCAGGGCTGAATTACAGGAACAGAAGCTGGAGCACACCAACAACTGTAGAAGCAATCACTGTTTACTTGGAGACCTCTAAAAGGGATGTTGAACAAGCTCAAGGCGTAGATTGATAACCAAACCCAACTTTATTCTTGTCTCTTACCACCCCTCCAAACTTTATTCACGGGGTGGGGGGGATACTCTTTCTCTGCTATGGAGAAAAACTGCAGCAAGCCTTCTTAGTGAATAGATAGTCCTATGATCAGCTTAAGGCACATACACAATCTAAATTAACTAATTAGAATGTCTAATCCTGTGTAACAATAAAAATTCTGCCCCTGTTGAAGCTTTAAATCTCTTTCCCTCCCAGCTCTGCCCCACCAAGTCAAGAAGCCTGCATGAAGAAGGGAGGAGTGATCTGTGTGCTTTTTGTTTTCTTCACCTCCTCTCCACTTAATTGCTGCTGGTTGCTCTGGGTCCAAGGACAGGGAAGGAGAGATAAGGGGGATAAATCATTCTGGCTTGACTAGTTAGTTCTGTGTCCTCTGGGCCTGGCAGACATTTAAAAAGGGTCTGCAGCCATTATTGAGCCTTTGCTTGCCTTCTACATTCTCAGGGCAGGAATCTGAACCCAGGCTCATCATTCTTCAACCGTAGAAATAAATATCTCCAACTTTCTCAATGGTCCCCATGGAGTCTCCAACTAGACCTAAGGTAAGAGGGTAGAAACCTACCCCTCCAAAGGAGGAGCTGGGTCTAACAGCCCAACTGACTGTCTCAGAATAACAAGCTCTCTGTAAGGCAATCTTGCACTAGTCTCCTCCCATTCCATCCTCTTTATGACCTGAACCTCAAGTGTGTTATTAATGCTGCCAGCAATTATATTGTGTTTCCTTCATTCATTCATTCCCTCTTTCACTCTCCTTGAAAAACATTCATGTTTCTCTGTCCTTAAAACCTCAATTGATCAATGTGTTTCCTGTTTAACTGAGAAAACAAAAGCAACCAGAAAAGAACTTCTGGAGCCCTATCCTGATCTACTAAATCAGGAACTCTAGGAGAGGGTTTTTAGAAATCTATTTTACAAGTCTTCCAGGTGATCCTAATGCACTCTACAGTTGGATAGCCATTGCCTTTCACAACTGAGCAACCCCTTCATCCCCAATTACCTCCTACCACTCTTGCCCCTCCTCCAATCTGTTCTAGTCACACTGGTCTCATTGTTCCTTAAACAGAGGGCATGCTGTTTACTGCTTAAGGAAATATACCTTGTTCTCTCTTCAGTCTAGACTTTCAGCATTAGAAACTGAAGCTCAGGCATGGACTTAAACAAGAACTTGTTCTGCAGCCAATGATGGAGCAAGAAGGACCCAGATATGGCTTTCAGAATCAGTGTTACTGATGGGGGTCACTTGTCCTGGCTGGGCTAAGGTAAGGAGAGCCTGGGGCTTATGTCAGATCCAGAGAGATGTTTACTCAAGTGGCCTGAGCCAGCACAAGCAAAGGAAGAATCTAAATTACAAGCAAGGGAGGAAGGCAACCACAGCTGACCCACAAAGTACAATAAGAAAACAGTCAAAACTAATCAAGCTCTAGGAATATAAACGCCATTTGGGAAAGAACACAAATACGGAGTTGTAAAAGGTAATATGTGTTCTACAGTGAGATACTCTACTCCAACAAATCCCTGGGACTTTGCAGCTTGCTCCCCCCTCAGTTAGCCAGGAAGCTCTTGCCTCATGGAGATGACACAATAGTCAGGTCTCTCCAATAAGCCCTAATGAATCCTGACAGGCTCTAGTGTGACTGTCAGGGCATTTTGCATTGGCTGCCTGGTGGCCAACTCCACTGACCAGCCTCATATCACCTCCAGCATGGAAGTCTCTTTAATAGGTGATGGAAGCCCTCTACTGTTGAAATCCATGCCATCCTGCCTCTCCCTGATCTTCTGGATCCTCCCCCTCCCTCAAGAGGTTGGCACCTAATCTACTGCTAACTTTGGTCATCATCCTGGAGAACTTCAAGTTCCATGCAGATGACCCCTCCCCACAATACTCAACCCCTCATGCAGATGACCCCTCCCCACAATACTCAACCCCTCAATCCCCATCTCCAGGCAAGCACCTTTGCATGTGTCTCAGGTAGTCACTTTACTAGAGGACCCTAAACTTTGCCATTACTTGGAGCTGCTCTAATTCCAAATGTAACAATTTCAGCACTCCAGTTTCTGACCACAGCCTCCCATCCTCCCTGGTCACTTGTTCAATTATTCCCAATATAACCATCTGCTTTTATCTTTACTCTCCTGTCCTAAATATTTCCATGGTTCAGCATTGCCATCACTTACTTGCTAATGGCCTAAAATTCCTTTCCTCACTGTCTTGTCCCTTCAATGGCCTGAAATAAGTCCTTGGTATTCACCTCTTCCACAGCTACACGTAGATTCCCGAATAGGTAGAGACAACCACACTACTGGGTTGATTACTATAAATCCAAACAGGCCCTCAACATTACCCAGCAGTCCTCACCCCACTGCAGTCCGACTTCTCATCTTAACAAACCTCTTGTAGCATTGACAGCTGACAATTTGCCCATTCCTCCCATGTTAAAAAAAATCCACTTGATACAGTTTGGATATTTGTCCCTTCCAAGTCTCCTGTTGAAATGTGATCCCTAATGCTGGAGGTGTTCGGGTCATGAGAGCAGATCCTGCATGAATGGCTTGGTGCCCTCCCTGAGGTTATGAGTGAGTTACACTCTATTACTTCACATGAGAGCTGGATGTTTAAAAGAACCTGACACCTCCTCTTTCCTTTGCTTCCACTCTCACCATGTGACACATCTGCTTCCCTTTCACGTTCTGCCATGACTAAGTTTCCCAGGCCCTCCCTAGAAGCAGATGCCAGCACTATGCTTCTTGTTCAGTCTGCAGAACCGCGAGCCAAAACGAACCTCTTTTCTTTAAAAATTACCCCTCAGGTATACCCTTTATAGCAACACAAAACAGACTAATACACCATTCTCCTGGTGTTACTCTTTTATCTCTGGCCCAACCTTCTCATCTTCCGTCACCTTGACTGGTTCATTTTCCCTTACCCATCCATGAAATGCTCCTCAGATTTCCAGTCTGTGCCATTTTCTCGTCTCATTAACTTATTCTGACATCTAATCCGATTTTAACTACCACCTTTAGGTTGCTGATTCCCAGACCTTAGCACAGATCTCATGCACATTCTACTTTCAAATGAACATCTAACAAGCACCTAGAATCCAACACTGAATAGCATCACTGGCCCATCCAGTTGCTCAAGACAGAAACCTGGGACTTACTTCAGATTTCTTTCTCTCAGCCACTCAACATTCCACCAATTCTGCCTAATGAAGTTCTCCCATCTACCTAGTTCTTCCATCCATCATCACTAGTCCACCGTGTCCTCATCTTTTGCCCTGAACCTAGGTTTCTACAACACCCCTGCTCTCATCTATGCCACTCAAATGGACTTTGTTATATCTTATCCCTCTCTAAGTGAACAAGTGCATTAGCTGTATCTCAAGTGACAAGATCTGAGAATACAGATAAATATGGCTTGAGAAAACCGCAGCCAAATGCACAAAACAATCACAATGCAGTATTTAAATGCTGAAGTAGCACTCTTCACGTAGTACTTTGAGAGCACAGATGAAGAATTAATTCTGCGTTGGGAACAGGGGAGTAGGAAACAACTAGGGTGTTTGGAAGGATAAGCAAAGGATAAGCAAACTTTGCTGGTCAGACAAGTTCATTTGTGAGAACAGCACTGCAAAGGCACTGTTCCATAACTGCTAAATGTTTCACAGCCCAGGCCCCAAACATCTCTGGTCTGTTTCAAAACCTCCAACCCCTTCCTAGAGGTATCCAACTAGCTCAGAGCCCTGGAACCTATGTCCTCCCAATGGGCCTGTTAGGTGGCCTTGGAAATAGGTAGAAGAGGCTGTATCTTTACACTTGGACCCATGGCAGATACCTTCTAGGGGAAGCCTAGAATCTATCATGCCAGCTCATCTTCCCTCAGTACTTGCCTTCCTTACCTATAGCTTCCGCAGGACATGCTGACCAAGGCCCACTGCAAGGCAGAAACAAGGGACAGACCTTCTTCCAATGAACAGCCCAATCTCTCACTACCATATGGCATCAACCAGTTGTTTATGAACAGAGCGCCAGCTCTATTACTGCCCCCTTTAAGAACAGCTCAGGATCCATTAAGAGTCTTTAAATAGCCAATAAAATTAGCCTGGTGAAAGGCCTATTCTGAGCTTTCCCAGAGTCCTCTTCAGTTAACAAATCCATTCTTTACCGTCCAACCGTCCAACAATAAGGCTTACAACACATAATAGCCACAGTTAGTTTATTGAGCACCTCCTATGTACCCAGCCCTGGCTATAGATTTCCTCAGTTAACTCATACAGCAACATTGTAAGACAGGAATTCTACCATTTTTCCAATGAGGAATGTGATATTTAGAGATTAAATGATTCTAAGTGGCAGGCAGTGGCAACTGAATCCAGGTCTACTTGATTCCAAAATGTGTGCTCTCAACCATGCACATCCCTAAGGCCCCACAGGATAATAGGTGTTGGGAGTGGTTTGATGCATATGGTTCCAAAGATGGAGATGAGGACGGAGGGAAAAGACGAACCACTACAAATGCTCAGCACAGGAACAGTCTTGACCCAGTGACTCAGACTGATGTGTTGAATTAGGATGTTAGTGGACTACCTGCAGCCTTAGAGCCAAGGAGTAACAGCTGCCTGTCTGCAGTCTTGAAAACCTCAGCAAACCGAAGCTGGAGGAACAGAAGCTACGGGTGAGCAGAGGAAACTGGTCTGCAGACAAATCAGAAGAGAGCAGAGTAGAAATGCCAAGACAGAAAGGCCATGTGGCTTCTGAGATTAAAAGAGGAGCCAAATCCAGAGGTGCCTTAAATTCCAAACCATCTCATTTTCATGACATCTAAGGTGACCCATGCCTCCTGGATATCCTCAGGTTCTCACAAGAAACTCCTTATTCTTTAACTAGCCCGAGTGATAACCAAGATGCTTCTAGTAGAGCAGGGCTGAGCCAGGGGTCTTATAACACTTAGTCCTTGAGACAGATGGAAAATCGTACCAAGTCCTGACTCACAGCCTGGTTGGAGACAGTCTTCAGAGCTCTCAGCCTGGAGTTCGAGCTCTGCCTTGCCTTTCATGGGAGGTCCAGAAGTCACCTGCGCTTGTAGAGACATGGCTGAAGCTTCAGGCCTGAGAGTTGAGCCTTGGGCCCTACCCGAGGGGGCCCAGTCTTTTGGAAATCAAACAAGAAGAAGTGACTGTTGGTCAGGTCCTAGGGGCAGAAAAGACCCAGTGAGCTCCACCAAATTTGTCACCACAACTCCTCAAAACACCTCCCTCCACACACTGTTTCTGCTCAGAAAGCTTCTCAGGACTTTCCCTTGTGTTGGGTTTTTGGGGGAGCAAAATGTCTGCTCCTGGTCTATGGTCTCCTTTCTAAATACTATCACCCTCACATGTAAAGGGCCACATATGAGACAAAAATGGAGCCCTCACCTTGGAGATGACCTTGAACCCCAGCTTGGTCACAGCCCCCAGAAAGGTTCGAACATCCTCAAAGCGGCTGCTGACCTCAGCCACTTTCAGGAGACCCCTGAGGACAGAAAGTTCTGTGTAAATGCACAGACATGAGCAAGAGCATGAGCATACACACACACACACACACACACACACACACACACACACCAGACACATATACATCTGTGTCCTCCACGCTCCTACCCTGGCTTCAGCACTCGATTTGCCTCCTCTAGGAAGTCCCGGATGTTGGTTCCCATCAGTGAAAGGCAAAACACAGCCACATCCACAGACTCATCCTCCAGAGGCACCTGTGGAGAGTGAAAGTGTTGTATAAGGCATGCAATATCAGAAGGAGAAAGTCAACACTGAGTGCTGGGGTTGACACCAGAATGGGAAGTAGGAATATGGGTTTAAAAGATTAGCATATCGAGGCTGAGCCTAGAGCACAAGACAGATACATAGATGGGTTCACCTGTGCCATGTCACATACAGTGACCCTAGGGTCCAGAGAGGCCAAGTCAAAGCAGTGCACAGGGTTCCGGATACTTGAAGCCAGATGGCAATCCCCGCAACCGAAGTCAGCTACCACTAGGGATGCAGGCCTGGGAGTGGAAAGCAAGGGTCACATGAGCCCATGACTGAAACACATAGCCTCTCACAATGCCCGTGCCCCATTCACCTCTGGCGAAGATCTCTGGCAATGCGGTCCACTGGCTGGAGTGGCCACTTCTTTATTTGGCTCTGGAAGCCACGGTGGTAGAGAAGAAAAGCCTCAGGGTCCTCCTGGAAGAGACGCTGTGCAGCGCTACTGGGCCCCGAGTACAGCTGTTCGTTCAGGTATCGAAATCGGGCACCATCCAGACGTTTTGCCATACGGGCTCGCAGGGCCCCTGCCCGGGCCTCATGGCTATCTAGCCTGGGGTCAGGAGGCACCTCTGTCTCCTCTGTGGGGCCCTTGACTGGCGCCGGGTCTGGCACCTGAGGTTGCCGAAATTTGTTCTTATGTCTCCGCTTGTTCTTTTGTCGGTTTCGCCATTGCTTGCGGTTCAAAGTATTGGGGTGTTTAGGGAAAGTGGATCCAGGGTTTGGCTTGGATGAGTCATCTGCAGCACTACTCTTCCAGGATTTGGGACCTGCAGGGAGGGAGATGAGAGGGTGCACCTGGGGTAAAATCTCCAAAATTCAGAGGCTTAGCAAGTCACCCCGGCCATAGCCCTGTTCTTGAGACAGAGACTGTGGCCTGGATAAAAGTACTTCTTATTGCCTAAGTACACTATTAATCCCAATTCTAATGGCAGTGGGTAACTTCTGTTATATTTACAATCAGCTGACCACCCTACATTCACACATATACACACCCAGATGGTACCTGTTTGGTCAACATTGTCCAGGTGCTGGACTTGGCTTGAAGGAGAATGTTTCTGGCATTTCCTCTTTCTTTTCTCTTCTTCAGCAGAGTTACTGCCAAGAAGAGCCCATTTGCGGCATCTTTTCTTCCTTTCCACTCCTTCTTCCTCAGAGTCATTGCAAGGTGGGCCATGTTTTTGACATTTCTTCTTTCTCTTCTCTACTGCAGCAGAGGCACTGGCAAATGATGCCTTTTGGGGGCGTTTCTTCTTCCTTTCCACCTCCTCCTCCTCAGAGTCACTACTATGTAGGCTGGGAGAATGCTGGGGAAGAGATGCTGCTTCCAGGGCCCGTAATGTGGCTAAGAGCTGGCGGTGCTTAGAACCCTGGGAGAAAACAAGGGTTGACAGCAGGGCTGAGGAAAATGGATGAGGCCTGAAGAATAACAAAGGGAAGTTGGGGACCTGATTCAGACCCTGGCAGAGGCATCTGGATTCTTCCCAGCCAACTTCACTAGCTTGTCATGAAGCCTGCCAGACCTAGAAGAACCTTCACATCACCATCCCAACCTCTACGAGGCTGAGGGCAGAGAAAACACCCCACTTTCATCAATGTATAAATGAGGTCATGGAGATTCCTCAGAGGAATGTGCTAGGGCCACAAAATACGATCAAGACCAGGAGTTCCAATCCTCCATCTAAGGCTTTTGGCTTCAGCTGATACCTTTCCATAAGAGGTAGGGAGGTCATCGGGCGCGGTGGCTCAAGCTTGTAATATCAGTACTTTGAGAGGCCGAGGCAAGAGAAATGCCTGAGCTCAGGGGTTTGAGACCAGCCTGGGCAACTTGGTGAGACCTTGTCTCTACAATAAATCAAAAAATAAGCCAGGCATGGTAGCATGCACCTGTAGTTCCAGCTACTTGGAAGGCTGAGGTGGAAGGATTGCCTGAGTCCAGCAGGTAGAGGCTGCAGTGGCCATGAGTGTACCACTGCACTCCAGCCTGGGCAACAAAGTAAGATTCTGACTTTTAAAAATAAAAAATAAAAAAAACACAAGAGGTAGGGAGGTTTCTGGACACAGGAGGGGCATGATCATACATGTATTCAATGTCTCTAGCTGCAGTGTAGAGAACAAACTGAAGGGGACAAGCTGCAGACAGAAAAGTCAGTGGCCTGGAAGGATGAAAACGAACAAAACAGGCACTCACACGTTTGTGCGTCCCCAACACAAACACATCTCTCCTGTAGGGGACAAAGCTTAGAGCTTATCCTCCTTTCCTGAATACCCTCACAGTCTCCAGGATTCCTCAGGTCCCATTTTGGAAGCTGAATGAAGAGCAGGAAACACCTGAGGAAGCACAGGAGCTGTCATATCTCCAGAGGCTCCAAGGAGAAGGTCTGCTGTCCAGGAGGCTGATTCAGGGTTGAAGTCCTCCTTGGTGGTCCTAAGCCAGGCACTTACCTTACGGGTCTCACTTCCCCACACCCTCCCCTTGCACGAGTGATACTGATAACTCTTTGTCATCACCCACTCAAACTTTCTCCAATCCATTCTCTACACTGTAACCAATGACCTTTTCAAAATACAAACATGAAGAGATCATTCCACTACTAAAACCATTTCACTGACTTCTCTCTATCCTTAGTATACGCAAGACTTCTAATTTACCATTTCAACTTAAACAGCATCCCCTCTCATTTATTCTCTGTGCCCCAACCACACAGATCGTTTTTTGTGTGTGACTCTAACAGAACATGATCTCTTATCCCTGGGCCTCTGCACGTGCTCTTCCTGTCTGAAGCAACCCTCTTTGTTTCACCAAATTCTACTCAACAAAGATCTCTCAGTCCCAAAGTCACTTTCTTTCGGAAGCCTCCGGACCTTCAAAGCAGGACTCGCTCCCAACGGTGCCACAGGGGCTCCTCGCACACACAAGACGTGTCCGGCGCTAGGATCCACCGGAGTCAAAGCTGTTTCGCGGCCTGAAATAGCTTCCTTGCCCCTGCGTGCCACTCACCTTGATACGCGAGGTTGTCGGGGGCGGAGGCCGTGAAGTTACAGGCCCGAGGCCTGCGATTACTGGGGCCGCCTCGGCCCACTCAGCCTCCTCGAACATGCGGCTTGGGAAGGCAGGGTCGTGGGAGTCCACGCTCCTCTCACGTACAGACCGCGTTCCTGGGAGTCGGAGCACCCAGACCCGCCAGAACGGAGCCGGAAACCACAGCGTGAGCGCCAGCAGCGGCTAGAGCGGCCGGCGCGGCGAAGAGAATCATCGAGTGCAGACACCAGAGGGCTAGAAGGGCAAGGAGGAGGTAGGAAGGGAGGGAAGGAGGCCCGCGCTGGCCAGAGAGGGCCGGGGCAGGGCAGGGCGGGGCCGGACGGCGGGCGCGGCCGGACGGGAGATCCCCGGAGAAGGAGCCTGCAGCCCGAGTCCCGGTGAGTGGGAGTGGGCTCGCGCCCCCTGCCCAAGACTGGACTCTGCCAACCCGTCACCCCTCACTCAGCCTGAGTTCTAAGCAAGGATCGGGGCCAACCCTGGGAAGGACCCCCGAGTCCCCAGGGTATACGGACCCTGGATCGCCCCAGTTCCCTCAGCTCTGTTTGCGGGTCGAGTCTTAGTGCCTGCTCTCTGACATCCGTTCCGTTTTGGAGATAACTGCCTCTTAAACTACCCCCTCCCCCGCACGGACCCGCCTTTCCCTCGCGCCCGGAGGACACAGGGATCATCCCGCTGCCCCGAACTCCTTCAGAGACCCCGACTCCAACACAAATACGTCTCTCCTTTAGGGGACAAAGCTTAGGACTCATCTTCCTTTCCTGGATACCCCCACAGTCCCCAGCATTCCCCAATTCACGGGACTCGACGCCTGGACGCTGCCATGGACGACATTTTCACTCAGTGCCGGGAGGGCAACGCAGTTGCTGTACGCCTGTGGCTGGACAACACGGAGAACGACCTCAACCAGGGGTGAGCTGAAGCGGCTGGTGGATGAGAGGAAGGCTAGAGGTTCACTTCTTTTGGCTATGTGGGGTGCTCATGTCTGGCGGGGACTTGCCCATTCAGTGTGATGAGTGCTAAGCACAGCTGGTGGGGTGCCAGAGGATCTCCACAGAGGAAGCAGTGTTTGAGCTGAATCTTGACTGCTGAATAAGAGTTCCACAAGCAGAGGTTGCTGAGAGTTTTCCAGCCTCAATGAACTGCATAGGCAAAGGCTAGGAGGCAAGACATAGTGGAGAGTGCCAGGAAATTGGAGTTCCATATGGCTGGAAGATAAAGATTTCTGTAGGTTGAAGCATTGGGTACAAGTGGAGGAGAGGTCTTAATACTGCAGAGGTCTGCAAGGGTTAGCCAAGTCTTGCAAGCATATTTAGGCTATAATAAATTCTTTATTCTGAGGCAAGGTTTTAAACCTTTAAAGCAAGGTTTTAAAGTGATATGATGAGATTGTCAGTTTGCTCAGTATCATTTTTGATGCTCGGTGAAGAGCAGGTGGGAAGGAGATCATTGCCTAGTCTATCCTGGAAGTGATGATGTCTTGGACTAGGATTGAGAGAGGTGAAAGAGGTGATTAGATTCCAGAAGTCTTTAAAATGAAGAATTGTGGTACTTGGTGTGGGAAGTGAGAGACAAAGATTAAGATGACCAGGGTTCTGGCTTGGACACTTGGTTAGGTGGTGGTTACTTTTACTGAGATGGAGAAAATTGAAGGATGAGGTGTCCTATTCTGGACATGCTATTGTTAAGATGACCATACAGCAAGGTGGAAATGTTGAGTAGGTTATTAGTTATGCAGATTTCCAGTTCAGAAGGAAAATGTGACTTGTAGACACAGATTACAGAGCTTTCGGCATATAGATGATACCTCTGAAGACTTGGCTGTGAAGGAGAGTGCCTCAAAAGAGTGGAAGACAAGAGGGCAGGAGACGAGAAGCCTGAAGACTGACAAGGAGGAATTAGAAGTTGAAGGAAAAATAGGAAAATGTGTGAGTAAAGCTTAGAGAAGAAAATGTTTTAATGAAGGGGAAGTGGTCAGTAGTCAAACAGGCTACTGAGATGCCAAAGAACATGAATACTTTATTGAATTTTCAACTAGAATATATTTGATGATCTCTGAGCACTATTTCAGAGGAATAACAGGTGAAGAAACCGAACTACATTTGGTTCCTTCCTTTAAGGGGACTATACTGAATACTTCCTTTGCTAGGTGCTAGAGTCTCAGAATCAGACACAATCTCTGCCCTTAAGGCAGACTTTTGGCAGATTGAAATGTGAATGAGAGGTGAGGAAATAGAGAAAGTGAATGTAGGCCAATTCTTTAAGGTTGGCTGAGACAGCAAGGCAAGAAAAGTGGTAGTGATGGTGATTGAGAATGGTGGATTTTAATTTTTTTGTCCCTTAAGGTTGGTAGAATGTAGTTTTTAGATTTGAGAAGTCAAGATCACTTGTCATCTTAGTCTAGGCGCTACACTATTTTTCCTTAATAATTTGCAGAGTAGCCGGGCTTGGTGGCTCAGCCTGTAATCCCGCGCCTTTGGGAGGCTGAGGTGAGTGGATTGCCTGAGCCCGTGGGTTTGAGACCCGCCTGGGCAGCGAGATCTCATCTCTACAATAAATAAAAAAAAAAATCAGCCGGGCGTGGCAGCGCATCCCTGTAATTCCGGCTACTTGGAAGGCTGAGGCAGAAGGATCTCCGGAGCCCAGCAGGTCGAGGCTGCGGTGGCCGGGAGCGGCCACTGCACTCCAGTCTGGGTGACAGAGTGAGACTCCAATTCAAAAATAATAATAATAATTTGCAGAGTGATTTTTCCCATTTCTTTGTATAATTTTCAAAGGGTACTCTGACAAAGATAGTAAGCACTGTTACTATTTTGATGGTGAAGAAATAGAGGCTTAGGCAAAGTTGTCCAGTGGGCCTAGCATCTAGAAAGACTATAGCTGAGTCTAGGAAGACGCTAAGATGCTGCCAAAAGGCAAAAGGGTGGCATTAATGAAAATGGATGATTTTGTAGTTGTTTTGAGGGGATATGGTATGGGTGCCCAAGCTTCAGGTCTCCTTGAGATAAAAGTCAAGGCCCTGAGGTGACTGACAGTGAACAGAACCCTTATGCCCATACTTTTGCCTCTGGGCTTTGCATGCTCTAGATCCACAGGCAGTACTGGAGCCTAGTAAGTCAGGGCACAAATTAAAGGTCTGAGAGGCAAGACTGACTTGTAAACAGGGTATAAATTACTTCCTGGGGATACCCACATCCAGGGAAAGCTGTTGGCTATTTCTGTTAGCAGAAGAGGGCAAGCTTTTGGACGGAAATGATTAAAGACTACACCTCCATATCCTTCAGCTGTGGGGGCATCTGGGTGGCCAGACCCCTGATCAGTCCCAGGGCCTGCACAGAGCCCCTGCACAGGAAGTGACCACAGCACTAAGGCATCCGGAGGCTGCCTGTCTAGACCACAGACCGCCCCCTGCTCCGCCCCTTGGATCTGCAGCCTGACTGGAGGGAATTTCCTTTTATGGCTCCAGGCTGTCAGGCAAGGCCCAGCTCCAATCCAATTGTTTTGTTTGTAAACTTTTTTTTTTTTTACTTTATAAAATACATGTCTTTGGGAAAAGAAAAAAGTCAGGTATAGTTTTCATTCAAAAGCAGCAATTCTCACTTTCTCGTTTTTCTTGTTCAGTTGCTAAGTAGGGGAATCCTGTTTTGTGTGGTTTGTTATCTGCCTCATCAGTAATCAAAAGCATTTCTCCTTTTCAGTATAAGCCTTTCCAAAACATCACTTAAATTCCATTCCATTTTCAGATGTTAGTTTCAGTACCAGAGGCAAACAGCAAGCCTGCTCCTTCTCCTGTCTTGGCCTTCCTTCTCCAAGATACCACTCTCCTCCATTAATGTGTACTAAACACCTGCTGTCAGTCCATTCCCTAAAACTTATAGTCTGATAGACAAGATAGCCCATTAACAGATTTTTACAATGCAGTGTGAACAGTGCTATAGTAGGGGGATATAAAAGATGCAGTGGAAAACAGAAAGGACCAGTACAGGGAAAACCAGGCAAAGTGCTACCATCTAATGAAATTAGGTGTAGATGTTGAGGATATTGAATCTTACAGAGCTGCTGGGATATCTAGGTGGTTGGATGGGTCCGAAGCTTAGAGGAAGGTCTCAACTGAACAGCTTTGAGAGTTGCTGGCATGAATGAGAATCAAGCTTTCCCAGAGAGTATGCAGAGTAACTATCAGTTTTTCAGAAATCAAAGCCTTTGACCCATCCCACCTCCAGCTCAATGACCATTGCCCCTTCCTCAAAGGGACGATCATGGCTTCTCCCCCTTGCACTGGGCCTGCCGAGAGGGCCGTTCTGCTGTGGTTGAAATGCTGATCATGCGGGGGGCACGGATCAATGTAATGAACCGTGGGGATGACACCCCCCTGCACCTGGCAGCCAGTCATGGACACCGTGATATTGTGCAGAAGGTATGTATGAACCCATCACCCATGTCATCACATACATGCCATGAGGTCAGTCACAGGCACTATATAACACACAGTAGAAAGTACTCTTCTCCCTTTTCCCTGACACCACCATCCTATTTGGGACTGACTGTGCCTTTTACCTCTTTTTTTGGTCTGGTCATGGGGCCCAGCTGTTGCAGTATAAGGCTGACATCAATGCAGTGAACGAGCATGGGAATGTGCCCCTGCACTATGCCTGTTTTTGGGGCCAAGACCAGGTGGCAGAGGTGAGTACTCAGACCCTAGTCCTAGGATAGGTGGGAAGCAAGTCTGAGCCTGAGTGGCAATTCTGGAACCTTCAACCCATCCTATCAGTACTACTATATGACACACAGGGTTGTATATTGCATCTGTGTATTTATGGTTGGTTGTAACTGCCAGAGGTGGCAGGGGCCCTCATCACAACCTTTTCATTCCAGGACCTGGTGGCAAATGGAGCCCTTGTCAGCATCTGTAACAAGTATGGAGAGATGCCTGTGGACAAAGCCAAGGCACCCCTGAGAGAGCTTCTCCGAGGTCCATCCCCCAACCCTCTGCTCATGACCTGTCTTGTTCTTCCCCACCTGTCTCCTGCCTCCAGCTAACACTGTTTTTCTTCCCCAGAGCGGGCAGAGAAGATGGGCCAAAATCTCAACCGCATTCCATACAAGGACACATTCTGGAAGGGAACAACCCGCACTAGGCCCCGTGAGTCACTATCATGGGGGAAGGGTTTGTAAAAGGGAATAATCCTGTGCTTTGGGGCTGGGTTAGGGAGAAGCTGGGTACCTGACCTGCCCATACTCTCAGGAAATGGAACACTGAACAAACACTCGGGCATTGACTTCAAACAGCTCAACTTCCTGGCAAAGCTCAACGAGAATCACTCTGGAGAGGTGACCCCTGCCTTTCTTGCCCCTCCCTCCCTAAGCCCCCGTAAATGGCCTGCTCGGTAACTGTTTTAAGTTTTTCCTCATAAGTGGGCAAGGAAGTGGTGGCCTTAGTTTAAGCCTATCCACTACCTGTCCTTCAGCTATGGAAGGGCCGCTGGCAGGGCAATGACATTGTTGTGAAGGTGCTGAAGGTTCGAGACTGGAGTACGAGGAAGAGCAGGGACTTCAATGAGGAGTGCCCCCGGCTTAGGTAAGGCAAGGCCTAAACTGGGAGCTGCTGGTTCCAAGGAACCCTGAAGAGCATAGAGGGGACTGATAATTTATACTGGGTCTTAGCTACTCTCTCCCTCTCCCAGGATTTTCTCGCATCCAAATGTGCTCCCAGTGCTAGGTGCCTGCCAGTCTCCACCTGCTCCTCACCCCACCCTTATCACACACTGGATGCCATATGGATCCCTCTACAATGTACTACATGAAGGCACCAGTGAGTAGGATATTGTATGTAATTGGGGACAGGATGGGAGAGAGGGGAACATGAGCCTCTCTGAAGTATTTTACTCTTGCCTCCTCTCTTAGATTTCGTTGTGGACCAGAGCCAGGCCGTGAAGTTTGCTTTGGACATGGCAAGGGGCATGGCTTTTCTACACACACTAGAGCCCCTCATCCCACGACATGCACTCAACAGCCGAAGTGTAATGGTAAGGTCACAAGTTTACTCCTGGCCCAGGCCCCAACAGCCCTTTGCCTGTCTAGGACTTACCTCTATCCAAAAATCTTATCTTCTCTTCTTCAGATCGATGAGGACATGACTGCCCGAATCAGTATGGCTGATGTCAAATTCTCTTTCCAATGCCCAGGGCGCATGTATGCACCTGCGTGGGTAGCCCCTGAAGGTGGGTAAGGGCATCATGTTGGGAGGCAGAGAAAAACCGGCTCAGTAGTAATGGAAGGGTATATAGACAGACAAGACAGGCCAAGAGGCTGGAACAGACAAGCCCTATCCCTCCAGCTCTGCAGAAGAAGCCTGAAGACACAAACAGACGCTCAGCAGACATGTGGAGTTTTGCAGTGCTTTTGTGGGAACTGGTGACACGGGAAGTACCCTTTGCTGACCTCTCCAATATGGAGATTGGAATGAAGGTGAGAGCAGAACTGCATATGCTTATATTGGGAGAATAGTGGTGACAATAAATGCAGTGGGCTTGGGCTCCTCCTACATTTGTTCGGATATGCAATAATCCTGTCCCCAGGGCCAGAGGCTTTCCCCTGCATGACAGAATCAAATTCTGAAGCTCATTTTCCTTGTATTCATAGGTGGCACTGGAAGGCCTTCGACCTACCATCCCACCAGGCATTTCCCCCCATGTGTGTAAGCTCATGAAGATCTGCATGAATGAAGACCCTGCTAAGCGACCCAAATTTGACATGATTGTGCCTATCCTGGAGAAGATGCAGGACAAGTAGGACCAGAAGGTCCTTGCCTAAAGGTCCAGAGATGTCAGGACATGGTTGGGGGAGTGCACCTCCCTAAAGCAGCAGGCCTCAGGTTGCCTTCCCTGCCTCCAGTCATGGTACTACCCCAGCCATGGGGCCCATCTACTGCCCCCATTCCTACCACTGTGGCCCCAAAAGGGGCTGGGCTCAGAGCTTTGTCACTTGCCACATGGTGTCTCCCAACATGGGAGGGATCAGCCCCGCCTGTCACAATAAAGTTTATTATGAAAACAGGCTGGTGTGGGGACATGGGGACAGACAAGCACATTAGGGTGGGTGGCTCAGGTGAAGTAGTGCGGCTTCTTCACATTGATGCCATACTCGCTGAGGGCAGGGGTCAAGTCCTCCATGGTTAGAGTGTATTTGCGGTCCTGAGGGAAAAGGGAAGAGCACCAACTGAGCACAGGAATCCCAGACTCCAATCCCAGATAGGTGACCCTGAGTAGGTCTTACACCTCCCCTAGGACTTAGTTCCCCCAAAGTGGTTTCAGAATGAGTTAAGCCTTCACTGCTGTGAAGGGTAATTACTGATTCAACAAGCCTCCCCTCACACCTTGCTCTTGCTCCGGGAGCTGCCCGAGGCTGTGCCCTTCATTTTGCAGTGCTGTAGGGCATCATTGGCAATATCTGAGATGAATTTCTGGGCAGCTAGGGAGATGAGCCGAATTCTAGAGAGAAAAAACTGAAATGAGAAGGAGATGGACACAAACTTCAAAAGTACCCAAAGCTCTAACCTGTCCGGTTTTACTCACATGCGTGGATCTGAGGCCTCAAAGCCAGCACGATTCAGGTAGTAACCAGTCACTGCATCTGGGATCTGAGAAATCAATTAGACAACTGTCAGTGTTAGCCCTATGCCTTGCTGGGCTTAAAGTGGGAGGAGGATGAAGGAAATGGAGGATAGGCCATATCAGGAAGCTCACAATTTGGGTGGACAGGGGGAAAATTACAAGTGCTATAGGAGAGCAAATATAAGAGGACGCTGAAAAGCACGGAGATGAGGCTAAAAGTTGGCGTGACAGCAGACTAGATGGCTTTGTTCGGGCGGGAAGCCCACCGTAGGCGTGTAATCCTCCAGCTGCATCAAGAAGTCCACCAAAGGCGTGCTGGACACCACGGGCTTCACGTCTCCGTTGGCCGCGTTTGGCAGTACGTAAACCCCGTTAGACATGGCCCCCTCCGGGGGCGCCGCTCCACCCGCCGACACTGGAGCTAG